ACACACACACACACACACACAAAAACACACATGGAATGCGTGAGTGATTTCCTTTGCTGTGCTTCTGATTGTGTTTTTCTCTGCAGCCCAGAGCCCTTCAGTAGCAGAGACTTTGCACCCAGCCTTCACAGGAGTTCAGCAGTATGCAGGTACCAGCTTCCCTTGTCTCCCTCAGGCCCTTGTGTGGCTGACCAGATCCTCAGGTAAATGGTTTGTTCTGTCTCCTTGGGCTACAGCTGTGTATCCAACCACCACCATCACCCCCATTGCACAGAGCATCCCTCAGCAGCCTCCCATCCTGCAGCAGCAGCAGCGAGAAGGTGAGGAACAGAGGGGGATTTTAGGGGTGTCTGGTGGTGTGGGTGGGATTTGTGGAGCTCATCTTCTGCACAACAGAGCCAATGGAGAAGAGACAGCACTAATTTTTGTCCACTGATCTTTAATGCTGGAGTTGGGGTACAGAAACAGCCACATGTCTCCAGTGAGTGGACTAAGAAGGATCACAGGATGTTTCCTGACCTCACATCTGGCCAGATGCTGCAAGCTGCAAAGGGGCAGTAGGCCCTGGAACACCTTTCACACCAAAGGGGATGAGAGTCAGCACCTTCCCTATGCACTCAGGGCAAAGAGCTCTCATCCTTCTCTTTGCTGGTGCCAGAGTCACAGTGGAACCAGTCAAACCAGCCTCTCCAATGTACTCTCCTCTCTTTAGCCTTCATAGCCTACTGAATTTATTTTCAACTTATTTCAAAACTGGCTTGAATAGAATTTGGAGGCAAAGGCATTCTCTCTCTGCACCTCATTGGTAGAGCAAGTGTCAGCAAGGGAGCAGCTTCTTGTGCTCCTGAGGAGCCAGTGAAGGAGTGGACAGGACCAGTTCAGCCCATAAATTGGATGTGTGGCAATCCAGGAGGTCTCCAGTTAAGGCTGTGGCTTCTGGGCTGAAGGCAACACTGCAGGGAGTGCTACAGCAGCAGCTTTCACACAACAGTGCCTGCCACTCTCCTAGGACTGGGGCAGCTGTGAGCTCTCACTTCAGCTGATTTCCTTTCAGCAAAACAGCACCCAGACACTCTCAGAGTTGGCTGTGCCCAACACCCTGTGTAGGAACTAGGCAAGCTTTGAAAGAGAATTTGCTCTCCAGAAACTTTAGTTTTGTACAGAGTCTCCCAGTTGCTCTTCAAGAGCCCTCAGATCCCTTCGTGGAGCAGTGACAGAGACAAGCAAGGGGAGGTCAGAGCAGAAGGAGGCAGTGCTGGGGCTCTTCTCCAGTGCTATGCTGTGAGTTGAGCCCATTTCTCTTCCCCTGCCCTTCGGGGCCTTTCTGTTTTGTCCTTCCCCATTGCCCCCATACCTGCAGGTCCTGAAGGCTGCAATCTCTTCATCTACCATCTCCCCCAGGAGTTTGGAGACAATGAGCTGATGCAGATGTTCCTGCCCTTTGGCAATATCATCTCCTCCAAGGTGTTCATGGATCGTGCCACCAACCAGAGCAAATGTTTTGGTAAGTGCAGGCAAGGGAAGCACGCTCAGTAACAATGACACTCATGTAGGGCATGGCACCAAGAGTGCCATTGTCATCCCTCCTGTGTCCTTCCATCAGGTTTTGTGAGCTTTGACAACCCATCCAGTGCACAGACTGCTATCCAGGCCATGAATGGTTTCCAGATTGGCATGAAACGCTTGAAGGTCCAGTTAAAACGGCCCAAGGATGCCAACCATCCCTACTGACAGCAGTGAGCAAGCAGGAGTCACTTCTGCAGCACAGGTAAACTGGCCCCAGCAGGCCACAGCTCTGCTCAGGGCTCCAGCTGCTCCTACACAGTGGGAGGCCAGGAGTGGAGGCAGTGACACAGCTGATGGGGCAGAGGCTTCACCTGAGCAGCGTGGCCAGAGCAGGCCTGGATGATGGCCAGGTTCAACAATCATCAGGCAAATTTGTGGCAATGGGACAAGCCCAAAGCCAAGCCAGAGAGTCAAGATCAGGGTCAGGTCTGGTGGAGGTGAACAGGATCAGACACAGTCCAGTGATTGCCAGGAAGGTCTATACTGACAATAATAAACATTAAGGTAGGAAGCCAGGGGTTGGAGCCCAGTTAGAGATCCATGGACAGGTGGAGACTGGAACTTCCATGCTGTGTATCAGACAAAGGCTGATGGCACAGAGCTGCAAGGAGACTCTTGGAGCTGTGGGCAGTGTGGACAGACAATGCAGGTGGGGCTGGTCAGGTTCATCAAGGCCTTGAGTGCCCTCAGGGCCCTGACAGGCAGATGGTTCCAGTTTGTGGTCTAAGCAAGGTTTTACTCTGCTGTTCAGCTGCTCCTAAAAAGCTTCTGACTGCCTAAAAAGGTATTAAACCCCAATAGTTTTCAGGTGTTACATGGGCCCTGAAGTTAGTCTGCAAAGAATACTTTCTGGGGTAAGAAGAGACAATCCCATGATTCACAGGAGTCATAGAAAAGCAGAGAAAAGGTGAGGCCCTGCAGGGCTGCTGTCCAAGAGCCAGCTCCTGCCAGCCTAGAGATGGGGAGCAAGGGAGGGCTGATCTGATCTGGGTCAGAGTCCTCCACGTTTAAGCAGCAGCAGCAGCAGCTCAAAGCCTGAGGTTTGCATAGATGTCTTCCTAATCTCCCAATTCCGACCCTCCTCCCTTTCTGTTCAGGTGAAGGGAAAGTCCAGAGGAAGAATTTCTGCTTCAGGTTGATTTTCAGAGAGGCCAGTAAATTTATCGACTCTTTTGACACCACCCCTTTCCTTCCTCGGCTTCCCACCTTACCCACCCCATCTTCCTCCTCCCCTCCTCTCCAAGACATGCAATTAAAGAGAAGGCTCAATATCTGCCCAGGAGGAAGATTCTTGCCACGCCTGGACTCGCATATTTGCTGCTAACGTGGTGCAAAGCAAAGGGACCAGCAAACCAGCAGCCCCTGGGACACGGAGCTCTTCCTCTCGGGGTGTGGCTGGAGAACATGGACCAAGCAAACCCATGGTGTGTCTCTAGGTTACTGCAGTGATGTGTGGAAATTTACTTCTGTCCCTCCCTCCCTCCTGCTCTGTTTCTGGCCCTTTCATAGATAACTATAAATATATACAGTCTCTATTTTTTTTTTAAACTAGCTCACAGGACCAAACTTTTCCATTCAGAGACTGACTGCTTGCAAGAGGTATTGGAAATTAGGGGTTTGCCTTTGCAACAGTGTCTTCTCAGCACGCACTGCAGATAGGCCTGAACATTTTGGAAAGAGGGGGCTGGGGGTGGGTTGGGGGGAGAGAGAGAGAGCACATCACTCTGCTCAACATGAGCAAGAAGGAGAAATACATTCCTCCAGGATTAGGGCACAGTCAGCTGCTCAGCTTGAGTCATTCATCCACCTTAGCACCAGCCTGGTTAAGGATCTGGAGAGCTCTGTCTTACCTTTCCAAGGGCTTCTGCAGACAAAGCTCCTGGGATGTGGTGCCAGCCCTACCCTGAGCACTCCCTGATTAGGCTGAAAGCACAGGAAACCAGTCCCCTTACTTAGAGGAACTGCACTGCCTCCCCACACATGGCACAGATCCGTGTTTCACAGCTCTCCATGGCAACAGCATTTTCTTGATGAAGGCAGGAGAAGATGAGAGTGTGAGCAGATGCAATCTCCAGCACAGCTAGAGAAGCTCCCAGGGGCTGCACACTGCCTCCCTGTGTCGGATACCAGCACTGGGCAGTGGGCAGTTCTCCTTCCAGATGACACAGGACGTTTTCTCCATCTCAATTCAGGAGGACTCTCCTCATGCACCCGCTGCAAAGCTTTCCCCAGCAGATGCAAGGAAAATAGGATGATGAAAGAGGGTTCCATTCTGGGATTTTTTCCCCCAGCACCCCCTCCAAGAGACAGATTATACATTATGCAGCATATACATATATATATACACATATATATATGTAGGGACAGCTCTATACACAATATATTCTAACTCTAAAGCACAGAATGTAGTTCAGAACTGGATTTTAAAAAGATCCCCTGGGAGTGGGGGGGATGTGTCATCTTGACAAGGCACATCCCTTGAACAGTTTGGAACAGTCTCTTCAGGTTTCTACAAAAATAAGGAAAGGAAAGCAAGGCAGAATGGACCAACAAACCCCAGAGTGATTAGGAATGAACGATTTCAGTATTCCAGAGTTTGATAAGGTACCACAAACATTGGTGTGTGTGTGTGAGGGTGTGTGAGCACATTGAAATAGGGACAGAGAGTTGGTGGGGCAAAGTTGGTGCAATTGATGCTGAAGTGAGCTATGGGGATTTTGGAGAATCTCGGCCAACTCTCATTCTCCTCCAGTTTGCCCTTTGTTCAGGTGTTTGTGGCACAGTCCTTTAAGTACCTTCAGATCTCCTCAACCACCCTTCTGTGTCTGATGCTGAGAGTTTATGAGAGGTGAATGAAGCTGTGAGAGTCTGTGTGTTTCTATAGTCCATGTTTACTTATTGTAAATACCATTTTTATACTTAACATCTATTATGTATGTGATTTGTATAATGTACTTTATTTCTGCTACAAGTAATTTCATGAAGTTTAAACTTAGTCTAATTTTGAACAAAACAAAAAAAAAAAAAAGAAAAAAGATGAACAAATGCAAAATGGGAAAAAAGGACTTTGGGAATCCTAGGTCAAACTGGTTTAAAACAAGCATTTACAGTTTCTTCCATCACAGTTACTGATGTGACTGTACAATGTTACAGGTGCGATACAAGCTTTGTCAATGTCAAATTCCTCACTCTGGTCAAAAAAAAAATCCTAAATTTATTTAATAAAAGTTTTACTTGCTAAGTAACTGGGGCTCTACTTCTTGTTGTTAGTTGCACCTGCTTTTAGGTAATTTTTACACTTGAAAACATTGCCAAAGCCTTGGGCTAATTTAACAGGTCACATGGGGTCAGCAAACAGGTCTTGGCCCACAGAATCCCGGGGACCAATATTTCTTCACAGAGGAAGCATCAACACATAATACCAACACATTAAAAATTTGTTTATTTAAAATAGAGATTAAAATTCTACTTAGGGGAAGCAAGAGGATTAATGGAATCCAAAAGTGGAGTGAAGTAGTGGAGGAGGATGTCCCAGGAATGCACAGACATTCCAGGAGATCCTGTGCAGATGGACAGGGATTAAAGCTGGGGCTGAGAAAAGGCTGGGTGCAGTCAAAGCAGACAGGCTGAAGGAGGAGGGGAGATGGGAGGAGGGCTAAGGCAGAGTGAATAGTGGGAAAGATCTCTGACTGATGGGTAGGAGCAGCAGAACCATGGCTGAAGCAGGATGAGAGGCCACGAGTCACCTTAGGAAAAGGGGATTTTGCCACCACTGCTGCTCTGCTCCTGCTTGACACCAGTGGTGGAGTGAGATGCTCAGTGGGATGGCAGGAATGTGACTAGAAGGGATACAGGATGAGACTGGGCCTCCCTAGGGACTGCTGTAGTTGTAGAAAGTCCGGAGCACGTGGTTCCCGCTGCTGGGGAACAGAGCCCAGAGGCAGCAGAGCTGCTGCAGCCACCGCGGGTAGAAAATCTCGTGTGCCCGAGCGGCTCCGCCCCGGACGATGGCGAGCGCGGCCTCGGGAGCAGGGGAGGCACTGATGTGCACTTTGCCCCTGCAAGGAAATGGGCAGAGGGGCACTCAAAGCCAGGCAGTCCCTGCTGGGGTTTGAGCTGGGCACAGCCACGGGCTCTGCCTGCTCCTGTTCCATAATGAATAACCCCTTGATGTGCCCAGGCAGCTGCACTCTCCCCAGACAGGTGCACACACCCCCTTAAACAGAGTGGCTGTGCATTTTTTTGCATGCTTTCAAGAAGAGATGCATTCCTGCAGACAGTTATTTACCTGGTGTGCTCCAGTGCTGAATCAGTATCAATCAGGCCCAGGATGCAGAGTGTGACAGACACATCTCTCTTCTGCATGACGAGCTCATGGCGCAGTGAGCTGAAGAATCCATCCAGTGCAAACTTGGTGGCAGAGTAAGAAGTGGTGAAGGGAGTGGGCATTCTCCCTGGAAAGGGAAAAGAGAGAATGGAAAACACCAGGAAACTGAGTGTAAGGAGGATCCATGGAGAGGGAATCTGGGAAAAGATGCAGGCTTTGTCATACTGTATCAACTCATGTTCTGTTCAGGTGAGTCTCCCTTATATAAGTATATTAGAATACATATATCATTATATGTTTATTATAATATCATTATATACTGTGAAAAGCACAGTTTGGAAATGTGTTTAGGAGTTGAACAACAGAGAAATATGAACAGCACTGGAACAGCCTTATGTTTCCATGAGGCCAGCACTTACTCCAGGTAAAGCCACCAACCTGTAAGGGATGAAACAACCACCAGAGCACCTTTGTTCTTCTCCAGGGTGGGAAGAGCTGCTGTTGCAAGAGCCACATAACTCAAAAAATTCACCTGGAATAATAAATGTAGACATGGAAGAAGCAAGAGGGTTTTGAAAGCATGAGCCAATAAAGTCAACAGAGTGGTCAGAAATGGAAAGGAGTGTGGTTTGGAATTGCCTTTTCAAACATCAAGTGAGAAAAATCTTTAAAGATGGGGACAAACATTGCAACCATGAATCTTTCAGATTGCAGAAAAAGCAGTGAAGAAGATTCAGAGTAAAGGTTATTCCTGGGCTCTAACACGCAGATTTCCTGACAAGATACAATTAACTATCTCTGCTTTTTCTTTATGCTATTCTCTACTCTGCAATCCCTACCAAAGATACCAAAGTCTCAGTTTGCTCCCCTTTTAAGTTTCTCTTGACTGAGCTACAATGAGGCACAAAATTCAGTATCACTTCAGAGCTTGACTGCTCTCTTAAATTATAAGAATTTCTCACCTATGTTCCTAAGTTGCCACTCTCCAGCAAAAATCCTCCTTCCAAAATGAAACAGAAACTAATATGACCCACCTGAATGAAGAAGACTGAATCAAGAAAACAGCTCTTCACTTTCATGGCCCCAAAACCTGGCACCAGGGTGATTCTACAGGAAAACTCTAAATCTGTGAACAGAGACTCAAATGGCAGACACCATTTCAAACAACTTTTGTGTTCTGCAATTGTGCACATGCCATAGACCAGTAGGAAGTGCTGGCTGCTCACTTACAGACCTTCCTGAACTAAACACAACTGCCTGGAACTGCCCATCAATCCTAAACTCCTGACCTAAAGGGAGGTAAGAAGGACAGAAAGAAGAAATCGAAGTTTTTCCCAAACATTCCTCTTCACAAATGTACATCTGAGCAGAACACCTCTAGCAACAAAACCTCTAAACTGTTTGACTTCAAACAGGAATGAAGTAAAAGGATTGTTCTCAACCATTACCACAGCCTTGGATTTGCCTTGGAGCTTCTCAAAGCTGCCCCAGAAGGTGCCAGGCTCACCCAGTTCCAGGTGAGCTGGGAAGCCTCACCTGCATGAGCCAGCGGGTGTATTCCACATCCCCGGTCCACTCCTGGAAACGGTTCGTGCCCATGTGGTTCAACACGAGGTAATCCAGGCCCCCTGGGACAGCAGAAAAAGGACAAGGACATCCCCTGACCATCAACCAGGGAGCTCAGAAATGCCAGGAGGGCTGAACCACCCCCTCAGAAGGCTGGGAAATGCTTCACCATGGAAAAAGATTAAATATGCCCATCTGGGAGCATCTGACTGCTCCTCAGGAGTAGAACTGAAAGGAAAACTGTTTGACTTTGACAACAACTCCCTGGGATGATGTTTCAGCATGATTCAGGCTCAGAACTTAGTTCTGGTGGTACATCTATGTCCTTAACACCTTTCTCAGTTCAGGGAACTGAAGCAAGAAGCTCCTACTAGAATAAGAACTCTGCACACACCTGAAAGCCAAAGAGATGCCCAGGATGCTTACCCAGCTTTTGGACAGCAAACTGAACCACCTTTTCAGGCTCTGAAGGGGAAGACATATCTGCAGGGATATAAAATATTTTCTTTGCTCCGAGTGTCAAGCATTTCTCCATCACCTTGAAAAAGAACACAAACTAAAGATTAAACTATTTGGAAAAATAATAGGGGAAAAGGGCACCATAAAGCACATACTGCAGTCAGTGAGAGTCAGATCTGGACAGAGACACACTTTAATTTAAAATTTACATGCTGTTTGGGCAGTTCTTTGAATCTGCATCCTGCAAAGAGTTACCTCTATTTAACTGTCTGTTAAACCATCTACTTTGGGACAGGATCAAGATTCACTGGGAAAAAAAAAATCTTCTTCAGGAGAAATCTTCTGGAACAAGGGTTATGCTTTACATTAAGTTCATCTCTTTTTTCCAAAATAACTGGAAAAGAATTGAGCTTTTGTAATTCCTTTGCTATGCTGAGTGTGTGAATGTGCCTGGCAATGACATGCAGTTTTAGCTATTTGCTGAAATAATGCCTTCCAGTCATTAGGAACTATTATTATGCTCACTGTCCCCAACTCACCTTTTGCACCATTTCACAGTGAAGAACTTTCCTTGGAAGCCGCACATCCCCACAGTTAAAGAGCTACCCTTTCTAAATATTGTCCCATTTTATAAAGTACAGGTGAAGAAGTCTCATCTGTTTGAGTTGGTCAAAAAGCATTTAACCTACAAAAAGTCTTGAGTTTTTAACAAAACAGCTACAAATAGAACAATTTGGATTCTGCAAAGCTGTACAACATTTCACAGGAATTGTAGTTCATGGAGTATCTCAAATTGAAGAGGACCCATAAGAATCAAATCCAAATCCCCACTCCTCACAGGACTCCCTCAAACTAAACCATATCATTAAGGATGTGGCCCAGATGTTCCTTGAACTCTGACAGGCTTGGTGCCATGACCACTTCTCCCTGGGGAACTTAGTCCAGTAACTGATCACCTTCTCAGTGGAGAACATTTTCCTAATGTCCAACCTGAACCTTCCCTGATGCAGCTTCACACCATCCCCTCATATAAATAAATGTTCAGGCAGTTAAAAGCTCAGGCACTGTATTTGCATATTCTTGTACTGGCCAACTTCTCTTCTGAGTTTATGCTTAACAGTTCCAAAGGAAAGTTTATCATGTTGACAATTAATTTTTTTGTTGATTTGGTAAAAGCCTGAATCTCTTGTCTTCCCCATACAAGGATGAGGTTCTTACCTTCTGCAGCACAGCTTCTCTTCTGGCAGTCAACACAATTTCAGCACCAAATCTGGCATAGTGATATGCTATCTGCTCTCCAATCCCAGCACTGGCTCCAGTCACGAGAACACGGGCGCCAGACAGGCTCTCTTTTATACGGGAAAGAGAATAAAAGATACAGAAGTAAGTGAAGAAAGCAGCAGAGGTGCTGCCCTTAACTACTGGCAGAGCTTTAAAGAAGAAAGATGCACTTAAGTGCTCAAAATTCTTGGTGCTTCTCCAAAACTAGAAGAGGCAGGCCCGATGATGCAATGACATGATGCCAGCTAGCTGTGTCACAGGGCCCTTGCCTGGGTTGCTAGACCAAAATCTTTCAAGAAGCAAATTGCTTTTCACCTTCTAAGACGCTGTACAACATAAACCAGAAACCAGGCTATGTGCCTTCTGTACTCTGCCATCAGTCTGGAGACACATCAGCCCTCTTGTGCCAGGCACTGCACACCTATAGAGATGGTTCTTGACACCAAGGAATTTACAACCAAAACATAAAAACAGCAAAGTGCCATTTTTCCCCCACAGAGACAGCAGGATCCCTGCTCTTAGACCATTTTGTCTTCCTCATTGTTTCAAGCTTCTCTTTGTTTTTGGGAATGAAACATTGCTTTGGGACCACCAACTCTAATAAGACTACAGGCAGGAATGAGACCATCAGTCAAAGTTTGGAAATTCAACCTCTTCTCTTGTATGACTTATATTTCAGCTTGAAATCATCCCCCTTGCGAGCCTACCTGGGTTAAAGTCGTCTTTCCAGAAGAAAGTTATGATCCCAGCTACAATCCCTGTAGCACAAAGCACTTTCCCAATCGGCTTCATATCCCTCCAAGCTGTGAGGAACAAAATAAAGTCTTGGAGCTGAGCACTTCAGCCAAAATAATACTGTGTTCTCCTTCCTCGGATGCCTGGAGCCAACCTGCGAGAGGCACGGAAAGGCTTTTGTAGAACCCAGAGCCCACCTGAGGGGTCTCTCCCCTGGGAGCCACAGCCACCCTGGTCAAGAATAAAAAGGATCTTTCACCGGCAATTCCCAGAGCCCTCTGCACTCAGAGCCAGCCTCCACGCACCGCGAGCTTACAGGAGAAAAAATAAACGCTGGTGTCTAATCTTAGAGAACTCTTAATTCATTAAAGACTGATGCCAGTTGGCAGCAGTGACCCCAAAGCAGCCGGATCTCGGGAGGGAGGCGGCGGCAGAGCCCACAGGACGGAGCCTTGTCTGGATAAGAAGAGCAGAGGGGCGAGCTGCTCTGGACGAGCTGCTCTGGACGAGCTGCTCTGAATGAGCTGCTCTGCCACCTCGCTGCGACACAGCGCGACAAAACCGGCGGCGGGGAGGAGAGCGCCACAAAGGCGCAGGAGCCGGGAGCGGCCTCACACAGCCTCAGCCACGCCCGGTCCTGCCCGGCCCCTCACAGCCTCAGCCACGCCCGGTCCTGCCCCCTCACAGCCTCAGTTCTGCCAGGTACTGCCCGGCCCCACACAGCCTCAGCCATGCCCGGTCCTGCCCGGCCCCTCACAGCCTCAGCCATGCCCGGTCCTGCCCCCTCACAGCCTCAG